ATATTGGTAATCTCGCCTAAATATACAGGACTGAATAGAATAACTACAAGAATAATAAAATTATTTTCATTTTTATTATTTTTGTGTTGCTAACTTTGTGGCCGAGCTCACAGCCCACCTGGTGTTAAGTAGTTACTAGAGCCCATAGACATCTACAACGTAAATGCCGCCATCCGCCTTGAGATATAAGTTCTAAGGTCTCAGTATAGTTACAACGGCCACCCCACCCTTCAAACCGAAACGCATTACTGCTTCGCGCCGAAATAGGCGGAGCGGTGGTACCTACCCGTGCGGACTCACAAGTGGTCCTACCACCAGTAATTACGCAAATTATAATTATGCAGATTTGATTTTTATTACACGATATTATTCCTTGACCGTGGAAGTCAATCGTGGACATTTCTAATTATGTATTTTATTGGACAAATCGGTACCCGCCTGCGGGACGCGAAGACCAGTGCATCGCTAGATACGAATGCACCCGACGTCTTATCCTTTAGGCCACGACGATTTACAAAGCAAAAACCAAACCAAGAATTTTCCAGTTTCGCGTTTGCAATCATTCGATGATACGTAAAGCAACCACTGGCTACTTGTTCAGTAGTAGCTTCTGAATAACATTCCACATTTTACACAATAAACGCTAAATACGTAACTAAATACAAAAAAATCCAGTTCTCGCATGTAACGCTTAGCGAGTCACTGTGAAATATGTACGTGTCTATTATGGAATTCAATGGAATTTTAGCGCGTCAAAGAAGAACTACAGTCGAAGGTCAAGTGCGAGAATTTGTGTATTGTTATTTGTATGGGCAGTAACAAATTTTCTAATACAATTAGTATTAGCTGGAGTTCGGATCTTTAGTATCGAGAGGTGAAAGGATATTTGGTTTAAGCTTCCACTTAACACACGACATTTATCTATGTAATTCAAGTTCCGTTTTATTTGGTATTAGTATAAACAATTTAATGTTTTTAATTGAATTTGAATTAAGTTTAGCCATTCTAATAGCTAAAGAAGTTTTTTTTGTTATGATATTTTTTTCAATTGTGACTCTCCTGTAAAGTTGCAAAGTTGCAAAGCCCTGTACCTGTCGATATGATCATTATCTTGAATATTAACATCAAGAACTAACTGGGTCGCTGCAATAACGCATTGCGGATCTATTTGGGTTTAATCTGGATTGAGGTCGTATATTTGGGTTCGCAGAGGGAGACAACCTTAGCATCCCAGAGGGTTAGAGGTCGTCATCACACGTCAGACGTCCGTTGCTTAACCTACTTCATGGATCTCCAGAAGGATGGACCTTTTTTTTTTTTTTTTTTTTTTTTTTTNAGTCTTGCGATCTCGGGCGACCACCAGAACGCACCCCCACGTGGTGCTCGGGGGCCGACCCGGGGCATGGCGGCATCACAAATATTTGCCATGGTGCCCCGGAACCAGTCGACCTCCGCATCCACGTCCGCGAGCTGCGCGGGTTTTGGTGCCCACGCAGCAACAGCGGCCGCCTCCATCAGCAACTCCTTATTCATTCGTTTCAAGCAGAAGGATGGACCTGATGCACCATAATTTATTTATACTGTATAGTATTATCGTAACGTTTGACCATTAATTTATGAGCCATTAAAAAGCTCGAGAAATAATGGTTTATATGTCCTTCTCTCGTCTTGATCCATCAACGAAGGATAAAAAACCTAAAAATTTGAATACCATAATAACCATCCAGAAAAATAGCCCCCCAACAATCCGATGCTCCAAAATCCAAATTATAACCGTTCCAAATTTATTGGAGAACCGAAATTAGTCTAGGGTACAAAAATAAAATTATCGAACATCTGCTACTGATACTGCCCTGATAAAAATAGGTCATATTGTTTCGCCATACGACATACTTTATCGTTTAACATAGAATGCCTATATTTTCCACCCCTCCTGGCTATGCCCATGCTCACCCAACTGTCCTAGTGAAACTGGAAAGGCCTCTGGGCCACAAGTAATCCATCATACATAAAATTAAGAAAAGAATGCCTATACTTTTTCTTATTTTAGCTTTTTCAATTAGATGTTTCTATATTGATTATGTTATGAGTCAAAAACAATAACTGTAGGCTCCATTAATAACGTACTAATGTCTCAGTATGCATGTCCTAAAGTGATGATATTTATCATAAGCTCTCGATTCGTTGGCGAGGCAAGTACCAACCACACTTGCCAAGTATTAAAAGCCTGATACTTTCAAATGTTTTGTTAATAATATCATTTTCTATTTTTATGATATTGTGGTTTCGATATGTTAATACATTTTAATGTAAAATGTACATAAAAATATATATTTTTTTTACGACTATTTCGTGTAAGTATTTTCCAGTTGCGACACTTTTTAGAATTATAGCTGGTTCATACTTTGTAACGCGACTGATAATGTTCAAGTGTGAATGGTTTTTATTTTAGTATCAACCGTTTATTACAAAAACGCCAACGCACCTAGTTATTGTCTGAATCATACTATTCATTATTAAAAGTTTGAAAATCTGTTTTCGCTTGATTGTAGTCATTGTGTTTAAGTAGTGGCTGTGGTTCGGCCTACAATGGCATCCACTGCATCTGTTTCCGTGGGTGTTGAAGGGTCCGACTCGGCGAATCACTGGAGAATGGGCAACAGCTGTCTCCATACTGACTTATTGCGTCATTAAATGTTATCTACCCAACGATCAATGTGCTTTAGTGCGAGTTTTTTTAACGTTCTCGATAGCGTAAAAGTTAGGTAACTGAAATTTGTATGCAGTTGGAACAGTGCCCCTCGCGGAAAACGTAGGCAAACGTTTTCGACTCCATACAAATATGAGTTAACTTTTACGCTATCGAGAACGTTAAAAAACTCGCACTAAGCACACAGGGCGTATTATAAACCTTTTTTTTTGTTTTCTACCTAAGCTGAGAGCCTGGAGAGGATATTTCAGCGTAACCTTAACTAGTGGGTGAGCTCACGGGGCTCAAACCTGAAGAATTGTAAACCCATGCGGGCAGTTAGTACTAACTTACCAACTTGACCCAGGTGTGCCAGGGAAATCTCATACATAGATATGCCTCATGTTTTGTATTATGCTCTGATTTAAACTACAAGATCTCATCAAGCATCCTTGTTGAATGATCCAGTAATATCTTTGGAGCTGCTAGAAATAATTTACTAAAGATACGATATTTAAAATTTGGTTTACTGCCAGTTAAAGAGTCCAATAAATAACATGATACTGTTACGAAAGTAGGTATGTAGGTACGTGTTATAAAACTTGGCCCGTATTGGCAGAGACGAGCGTCGGGACACGGGGCGCCACCGATCTTTCGCCATGTCATAGGTCAGACGTGAAGTGATGAGATAAAAATTTGGCTTCCTGAAGCATTCCCAGTACTAAGATTTATTTAATTCGAGAGGAAATTGAATTTCGTATTCTGTTTTCAATTTATATTACAAACGTAAGCTGACTTACAGAGGTTCCAATGACACTTGTCGTTATAAATGAGTGTAGTCTAGGAACTTAACATAATTGGGCGTTTCATATTATCTATATGATGGGGAACCCACAGGGTTTGCGATATAGGTACAGATACAACATCATAGTCATGCATTTTGTACAGATGCAAAATAACACTACAGATAGATAATCGATATAGAGGAGTGGTGATTTGGTTTAAGTGTGATTTTTGCAACTTTAAAGAAGCGCCATTTGAAGTATAAAATTTAGTAAAAAGTGTCGTAAAAAAAAAACTACTTCGGTTATTAAAATTAAGTAAACTTCATTGATATTCAATTGAAAACATCGAAATGATTGATACTAGTACCCAGTCGTATTATTTATATTTTTTTTATTTAATTATAAAGATAAATGTAGCGAAATGTTGCTTAAACCAAATAGTATTTTGCCTCTCGATATGTTCTTTAATTATTTTATGATTATACAAATCACAACTAATAACAGAAGAATAGAATGAGAATAGAGGCCTTTTGTGAGATGTATCGCCCTACCCGTAATAATTCAGTTGTTGACATAAACTATTATAAATAACGTAATTCTCATTAATTTTTTAGAGAATTACCCTAAATTAGGTTATGCACAAAAAAATATAAATACTAAAAAAAATACTATAAGTACTTTATGACGACGCTTGTAGCTGAAAGTAAGTATTGTACTTTTTGACGAAGCATGTTGCTGATAACTCTGTTTCTATTATCAGACGAAGCATGTTGCGGATAATAATATGTTTAAAAAAAAGTGTTACTTTTTTATTGCGAAAAATAAAAAAATAAAAATTTATAAAATACTTAAGTCAATATGTCTGTCTGTTACGTTTTCACGCCCGAACCTCTGAGCGGATTTTGGCGAAGTGTGGTAACAATTTGAACTTTGAATAAAACTGATACCCGCGATATAAAATTCAGTTCGCGCAGGCGAAACTGCGCGTGGAAAGCCAGTTGGAAATATCAACCTCCCACGCCGCTAACTTAAGAAGATATCGTAAACGTTGACAGAAAGTGAGGTATCGATTTTCTGCATCGAGATGTGGGTGTAGGCTTGCTAAGGTTCGTTGACTCGGCAGGCTTGAAACAATGTTGGACGGGCTCCACAATACATCGATAGATCATTCCAATAAGCGAATGTTCGTAATTACACGCGTGAACTTACTGAAATCTGCCATTTTCGTAGTTTATCTTTGAGTAACCATAAATAAAACATTCTTGATGTCGATAATTTTCTACTTTAACTAAAAACTTCATTGTTCGAAACCACTAAGTATGTGGGTTTTGAGTTTTTGGAACGAAGTTCCTTATGAGACGATGCGGAGGGGTACCCTAACAGGGAAAACGCGTCCGTAACGTAAGATTTTTTCTATTTATTTTGTTATCAACAGATGTCGCTGCACGTAAATTCAACAATTCCTGAATCGCGGTGACAAGATGTTACACAGTTGATAGACGTTCTCGTATTTCTCTTGTTAAATCATACCTACCTGGCGTAGGGGATACCGGGATCATGCAGGCGGTTCCCCCAGGGCGAGGCTGCTCCATTGCACTGCGGAGTGCGGATTGGTTGACCCTTGCGATTATTTTTATTTTTATCAGTAAAAAAATATATACCCGAATAATTATTTTCTTTTTATACCTCGAATAGAACTTAAAATTAATATATTTTTTTTATATTATTGAATTTCGTTGCTATCCGGTGTCCCACGACACCACACATCTTTTTTACTACGGCAACACTGGACGCGAATTGACGCAGGCATTCGTGATTTGACATTTTGACACTTCTCGGTTGGCAAGATAGATTCGCGGGTCGGCCGCGCTACGTAATACTTAGTATTCGAAACAAAAACTAACTATTGAACACTAGTAATTGCAATTTGTAAGTAACAAACGCGTAAAAGATCGCGTAAATAACAATAGAATTATCTATTCTAGTAAAGTGTCTTATGTGGAGGAATGCGGTCAAACCGTCAAACCCAACAGCACTCTTCATTCGGCTCGGTAATCTGCATATTAAAAAAGTAGGTTGGAAAAGTAAACATGACGGTGAAAACAAAGAAATTATGTTCAACAAAGCGAATATAAGTCAACCATAACGCGCGGTTGCACTCTCTATTTATACACGACGGGCAATAAAATAGTCGTTATGCTAATTACCTTTTATATCGTAGGATAATTACTGAAATATTTCATAAAATAATTAAGGTCTTATAAGTGGTTGAATAAATCCCTTTGCTTTAAATAGTCTGTAGATTTTGACATTAAGTTTCTATCATTCTTGCTCTCTTATTTATCGTTATGGCAAGGTTCTTTTTTTTCAGTACGGCGATTGGCTTTTTGCGATGCTCTTTGCTGACGGTGTCGAGCTTATAAAAGAAATCCACTATTATGGATTTATATCTATAATACTTGAATTTGACAATTTTGCATACTCTGTAGTTTTTTTTTTCTCGGAATTTGCGATTTTTCGGACTATACACATTTTTGATTGTCATCGTGTTATTTATGTGGTCACGCACGATTGCATTTGAAATTACCCGTATTTTATGATACAACAGAAGTGATATATTATATCCTGCAGGCATATGTATTCTGTGTTTAATTTTTACTGATCTCAGCAAACACCCACGACCTAAGTACAAATACACTTTAGGGCATGCAAAACGAAGTATTTTTATCCAGTTTTCGTGTGTCGTAGACTGTTACAACTAAATTAAAAAACTGATATGGTTACATCTGTCGATTCAGTCGTCTACGGAAAGGAAAACTGTAGAGTTATCGAATTGTCGGAAATAATATAACGACAAAACAACTAGTTTAAATTGTAGAAAAAACTTTATTGCAAATCTGTGGAAATTACACAAAATTCAACGCTTAATACATCATTCTTATTGTCAATAGTACGAATTAACCAATAAAATTAAACCGAGCATGACCGTCTTGGCGTTCGTCAATACTCGCACGGTATTTACTCGTAACACGAAATAACAGTTGGACCGCAACACTTTCTAACGCTCGAGAGTGTAATGTGCGTGTCTCTTCGTTAATCTAATTAAAGTTCTGTCAGTTGTACATAGTTTATATTAACCATAGACACTGTTTTTTTTTACGAACGATCACACGGGTTTTGAGCGAAAAGTATTTTGAAAAATAAATTGCGTTCTACACCTGCATTCTGCGAAGCACTGCTCTCGTTAGGGCTAGTGTTAGCAAATTCGCCAAGCCCTGTGAGCTCGCCTATTAGCTCGATGAAACTGCTATAATTCGACTAGGTTACGACCGTATTATTATGTAGGCAAATAACGCTCTTAGTCAAATAAAACGTAATCTATGCAACCTCTTTTTTTTTTATCGATCGATTGCCCATCATCATATCAGTTGAAATACATCCATTGCTGAACGTAGGCTCCATAAATTTTCAAAGTGATTAATTGATATTTATTTTTTATAGACGAGGACGAGCTGACGATAAATAGCCTCATTTGTATTAAAACGGCTAACGAAACCCATAGACGAGAGAATAATAATTCGATAAAGCCGAACTCGCATGTTCGTATATTTTGGTCAATAGTCGAACAGACTTATTATGAAATAAGATCCCTTTGCCCTACAGTATCTAATATATAAATTCTTCTGACCGTCTGTATATTAGTGAACTCCAAAATGGTTTAAATTCACATTTCGGTCTCTCGGAAAATTTTATTTAAGTAATTATAATTTTTATAAGTTTGAAGTTTTTGGATTTAACGCGTTAACCTAAAGGACGTCTGTTCGGGTCCGTAAAATATAAAAATTGTTCAATAACGATGCTCAAACATGATCGTCCCGTGTATGTTACTAGACGTGAACAACTATCTGTATGCCCAACCGAGCCCGGCATTCGACACTTTAATTAGACCTAATTGTGAGTCTAATTAAGGGTCCAGTTCGTACGTACTATGTACGTATTAACAGACATTATCATTTTATGGCAGTAACGCTGCTTTAGTCCAGCGTCATTATGTGGCTTCTTAAAAGTGTATTGTTGGTCAATTATTAAAAAAAAAACTCGCGCTTGCGATTCGTCATTTCATACATCTTTCTGCCTTTGAGCTTTGAAACTCTGACATAAGAGTTTTTGCCGCCAAATTTCTTTTTCTTTTTGTTAAATCAAAGTCGTTGGATGCGGAAGGCGGAGGATCGCATTATGTGGAAGGCATTGGGGAAGGCCTTTGTCCAGCAGTGGGCAGATAAAGGCTGATGATGATGAAAGTCCATGGACAATGTTTTACAGAGTTATTGTCTCAGTCTCAGTCCCGGCTTTATCTTAGTTGAAACTATCCCGCTTACCTTTCGGAAACCTTCACGCAATCTATTTGAAGGGATTTTTTTGCCTTTTCACTGGTATTCTAAGGGGCTATTCTAGCTACTCACTGTAGGTGACCTGAGGGCCCCAACCTGAGAGAGTTTGCTCACAATGGCCGTAGCAAGGGCAGTGCTTCGCAGAATCTAGCCTCATCAGGTTTGAGCCCCGTGAGCTCACCTACTAGCCACGGTTGCGCTGAAATAGCCTCTAAGGCTATCAGCTTAGGTGGAAATAAAAAAAAAATCAGAATCTACCAACGGATCGAAATCGCGTCCCACTGAGAAGATTCGTCGAGAAACCCAATGGGTAATAGAAAATAAGAATAGGAAAAACTGCCCTGAAATCTATATGGCGGCCTATTCATCCACCATTTATTTTTTAATGCCACATTCAAAACTCAACTCCAGTCGCCGATATTAGTGTTAATTAGCCTTTATTAACCTTAACAATCTAAGTTCTTGAACCAATCAACTTTACAGTCTGTGACATCAGAATTTGTAAACAGTCACTTTGAATACACAGACTAGTATTTGGATGCTGAACTTTTACTAATATTAGACATTCCGTGGCGTTCTCGAGAAAGATATGTACTATGCTGAAATAATCTAGATCAATATTAAAAATTTGAAAGTTTCAATGTTTCTTGCTCGCAAATATGGCCTAATCCAGGGGTCGGCGTTTTGAGTTTGAAGAGCCAAAAATTAAAATTTTCAAAATCCAAAGTTTTTAAAGAGCCACAAATTATTTTTCGCCAACAATAAATAGTTCTAAAATAAATCTAATCTAATCTAAATAGTTAAAAATATATATTTATTCTTATATTAGTAGTGTTTTTTTTACAACAAATTAGATAATATATATGGTATTATTAGATAATTACTTATTATTTAAGTAAAAAATGAAAACAATTAAGCATTTATTTACTTACAACAATGGGCTTAGAGATATAAATGGTGACCAACCCTCGTTAGTCGGTTCAGAACAATTTCTAAAAGTTTTTTTATTTATATAAAATAAATATTATTTGCGTATGGAACTAAAGGGCTGCATTTTTATATCCAAAGAGCCGCATGTGGCTCTCGAGCCGCAGGTTGCCGACCCCTGGCCTAACGGATCACGGTTATCCGACCCTAAACTAGGATTACCTAGTTACTATAGTAACCAGAGTATGAGGGACATACTTATATATGTTTAATTATATACGTATATAAATATTAACCAACCAACTAACCGGTAGCTCTTCCACAGCAGCTCCGTAGAACTACTGTCATGCATCACGCTAGAGTGCTGGTGGCTAGAATGCTCCATCGTTGATTCGTTCCGGATGAAGCAGTGCAAGTACTGACCGAAATGCCCACGGCCCTCCTGAGAGACTGTCGGTTGGGGTTCCCCTAGAGCGATCCGAAGACCGACCGACGGGTACGCCAAACTGCGAGACCATGCCTCCAGAGTCTGGAGCCTCCGCGTTCTAATCGTTGCATCGCCGAGACATGGCTTTCCCCTGTCGCGGAAAGCGCAGAACCTCCGCCCCGGTCCTAAGGAGGCGTCCCGGCGAAAACGCATGCCCTCGAACCTCTCGAATAAGCGAAGTCCCAACGACCATGGGCAATATAACCTGATATATTTTTAGGCTTGACTAACAATTGCTTAAAGACGACTCTTAACCCAAATCCCATAATTATCTAAAAAATGAGACGCCCGGATCCGCCCACTGACACCTGATTAAACGCAATTAATTCAATCATGATTTACAGTCATCAGTCATCGCTGTACTTGAATTTGATTTAATGATCTGTTTACTGAGTCATTTTTAATGACTCTCGCAACGCTTTTATTGATTGCTAATTGCTAATGCTAAGGTTCTGATGAGGAATTGTTTTTTTTTGTTGTAAATTATGCTCATAGAAGAACTTTGTTTATTGCCTCTATGAGCAGACGAGCATACGGCCCACCTGATGGTGAGTGTTTACCGCGCCCATGGACGTCGGCAATGCCAGGGGCAGAGGCCAGCCGCTGCCTAATGTCTTGTTTATTGTATTGTACTAGATGGCCGGACTAGCCCACGGCCCAAATAGTTTTCAAGTGATTAAAGCAAATCGCACGCTACAGCGCGAATACCGTTCAGGTAGAACTTAGAAGTGTCAATAGTGACAACGGCTGTCTCTCCATTTAAACCAGAACGAAGGTTTGCCTCACACAGAAATATGTAAAGCGGTGGTATCTGCCATGAAAGCTAACAATAAGTACTACCACTAATAATTACGCAAATTCATAAATTGTGCCAAAAA